CTGGCAATTTGGTCAAAATGTTTGATAAATGCCACCTGCTCAAGCTGTCTAGTTCATCTTTTCAGTAGTACAGGGTAGTTGTTTTTCATCTCCAAAGTAGAAATAGGGGAAGCTGCAGATCAATACTGCAAACAAGTGTTTATTGTTTAGTGATTACCAGTCATCAGTGTGTGAATTTATACAACACAACATGCTTAAATTTGAAGGAAGAGGTAAAAAACAAATGCTTAAATAAGCCAAAAAAAAAGTGAATACAGATCCATCTTCTACAATAGCATAGGAATATTATGAAAGGTTAAGTCCAAAGTTAGAACAGCATCAGATTCATCCTGAAAAGTGTAAAAAAATACGGTTTCTCCAAGATCAGATATTTCAGTCTCTTCTCAGCAGAACTCTGATCAATGTGATAATCCTGTGACACATTTTCAGTGACTGCCACACTGTTGTGACACAGCTCTGAGGATGATACAAGCCCCCACTCAAGGCCTCTTAGCAGTGCTGCTGTACCTGTTTAATTCAACAGCAGTTTCAGTTCATCTTGGATGCACAAAAAGTGGCGAGGATCAATCTGTGACCTCACCTGGCATTTCAGTTTTTAATCTATTTTTTTTACAGTCTAAATGTTTGCAAAAAGGTTGTGTCAGTTTGTTCCATCAAATGATGAATAATGTAGAATGTGTGCATAAGAGACAGGGCAGCATTGTCAGTTCTTCAGAACACTTGTACGCAAACAAGTCAGCATCACATGAACATGCTTATCACATTCAGGTGGGTTTAGCTAAATCTTTATGTAGACTAGCTGCTGAAGAAAAAAGGTATAAACTGGTAAAAACACAGCAAACTCTAAGACTATAATGACAGTCCCATTTTTCTGTGTATTGCTTCATGCAAGCTTCACCTTGATGTGCAGCTGCTTCAATGCGGCATTACTTGCTTACTCCAGAGTTGACATATGTTGGTAGGCAAGTTCTTACTTACATCTTAGTCTATATTTGGCAGCACCGATTCCTTCGGATTGAAGTAGGCTTTGACCCTGGCACCAGCTTCCAAGACTGCCTCTGCCCAGCTGCCCAGCTCCCAGTTAGTGCCTGAACATCAGACCTGAGTCTTTGGCCTCACACAGACTTGATGCAAACTCATCTAAACCCTCCCACATTTTAAATCTGCGTGGTGACAGTTTGTGCAAACCACTCTTTTAGTGCATCATTTGTAATAATTCTGTTTCCTACAAATCTGTCACGTAGAAGACACTACCACAACTAAAACCACAATTTGTTTGCTGGTCATCTTTGAGAAAGGTTTGTAATCTTAGCCAAACTTAGTGCATGTCTGTGTGCTACTTCAAAGGGCAACAGAAGATCCCAGAGCTATCACAGACCTGTGCTGTCCATAGCATCCAGCCCCATGCCTTGCTAGAATCATGAACTTGAGCTGGAATAGGTTTACCCCTTTAATTTTTTTAACAGTGCTTTACCAGCATGGCACAGAGCCTTGCAGGCCATAAGGATAAGGATGTGGATAAGGAGGTAATAACAAGCTTGGGACTAAGGCTAGGGAGTGCAGAAGGTCTAGGCGTTACGGGGAGTGAAGGCATGAGGACATAGGCACAATGAAGCAAGGAACATTGCCTTTTGAAGGGGGACCACAAAACCAAAAATTAGAAAACCAGAGCTATAGACATTGTTAGTATTGTATAAATGCTCTGATATTTAATGTAGGAAAGACTGTATGTTAGTTCTCTTGACTGCTTATGTTTATGTCATTCTCAAAATCTATATGCTGCATTTCCCAATATTTTGTTTTTCAGTGACAGACTTTATTCTGGAAAACCCCTGTTAAAATACTTGGGGGGAAGGAAAAAGAATAATTTAATGTAGCTCCTAAACCATTTCTGTAATGCTTGTGCTTAGGGAAGTTGCAGCATTTTTAAATGATAGGTATTTGTGGTATCTTTGCCTTTTTATTTCCAAACCAGTGAATTCCTGGGATTTTATATTCACAAAGATTATCAGGTAACATTTTTTATGAGGTGATTCTCAGTATTTAAAAGCTTATGTGAAGAATGATTAAAAGCCTGAAAGGAACACTAATTTTTGATCTCTCATTATTCTAACCCATCAGGAAAATTAGGAGGATTTGCACAAGAAAACAACACTATAGATTCTGGAGAACTTGATATAGGCCGAAGAGCGATACAAGAAATTCCCCCTGGGATTTTTTGGAGATCACAACTCTTCATTGATCAGCCACAATTTCTAAAATTCAATATATCCCTTCAGAAAGACGCATTGATTGGAGTATATGGCCGAAAAGGTTTACCACCTTCGCACACACAGGTGAGAACTGCTTGCATTAAAAGTAGGACATGTTATTGAAAACTGTGAGCTTGTATCTTTTGCAGTTTTTTTCTCTCTTAGGACTACATCCTTCTGCATTTTGCTGATTTTCATTTTTACTTTTTATACGTTATTGATCTCGTGTTATGTCCAGAACGCTTGTAATACTCTTAAGTGTTGGGATCTAAAGCAGGGGTGGAGGGTGTTCTTATTTATGAGCTGTTCTAATGTGTAATCAATGATGATGTTTCAGATATGGAGTTGTTTCATGCAGAATTTATAGGTATTTTTTTTCCTCTGTGGTACAAAGACATATCTTTTAAAACCAAAGCAAACTGAAGCAAATAGCATATTATGGCCACACTTGTGGTTGAGAGTGCCTGGCCAGCAGCACATCAGCCAAATTTCCAAACAAGAAGATAAGCAAATGCTACAGCATTTACGGCTTGGTGTGTCACTAAATAAATATATAAACGAAAAAAAAGATATAAAAGAATGAACACTTTTCTGGATTGGCAGGAGAAAGGGAGAATCATTGCCTGAGATGTTATTTTAGAATCAATTCTGTTCAGATTTTATTTTTTAAGATTTAAGACCCTCCAAGCTTAGATTTCTTTCAGTGCAGTATTTCTCCAAGTGCTGGCTCTCAACCACTTTTCCACCTGAAAAGATACTTGAGTTCATGCTCTTCTACCCCATTTGGAGAATTATGCAAATCTTACTGATTTTTATTTTAAGTGTATGGATTTGCCCTGGACACAAATCTAAGTATAGCAACCTAATGGTATAACTGGATCAAAGCTTGACTGATTATGCCTGATACACAGTTGCAACAGCAAATCCATAACTGCAAAATTCATATACTTTATTTCAATCCCATATTTTTTTAATTTCGATTTTCATGCTGCTGCACTATTTAAATATATTTGGGGTTTTTTTTCTTCAGATATAACTTTAAAAAGATGTAGAACATAGAAATATATCTAACTATATCACCTATTTAACAGTCACAAACCACAGACAAAGGGTCAGCAAAGAGTTTCATGCAGCTAAAATCACAGAATGTTGCAGTAACTTAATTTTTTTATTTAGTTTCCATTAAATTACAAACACTTTACTGGATACAGAAAGTGTACTTAAGTTTACATAAAAATTTGATCCTCATAAAAATGATTAAATGGATTTTTTTCAGACCTTCACATATGAACACCCACCCTCAGGCTGACAACAAGCACGAGAAACTCTAGTGCAAAGAAAATTGATTCAGAAAGTTATCAGCCATTGGAAATAGGGGTTTGGAATACAAATGCCATCTCAGTGATAACAATAATAACAGGAGTTTGGGGAATGCATGTGTGGCAAGATTGAATAAAACTGAAGAAGCTGATCCTGGACTGTGCATTTACATGAGAAGTTATACAAGTAGATATGTCTATTAAAAAGTCATCCTTACTTGATTCCTTATCCTGGCAAAAGGTTGAAATAGGGGTGTCCTTTATCCAAAAACAGGGAAAGGGAGATTTCTAACTCTGTTTCCCATTGTCTGTGTTACACAGACTCCTTACCCTTTGGATTCCTACTTCCCAAGTGCTTATTAGTGTTTAAGTATGATACAACAGAGAGAATCATATATGAATCCCGTTAGTGTGTCTTCTGTAGTTTCTGCAACATTTTGGATATATTGTTCCCAGGATATAGGTCGAGCTCTCTTGTTCTATTTTTGCCTTGTATATAATTACAGTATCTTTTACAAAGCATTGACCGACACTTGATATCTTGAAAAATTAGGCATGCTTACTTATCAGTGCCCTAGTGAACTTCTACGGCTGCTGAAGAGACCCAGGGGTGCAGGTTTATCAGAATGTTTGTATGGCCTCGAACCCAGTGATGTCCAGTTTAAGTGCCTGAGATAAAGTGTGTATGTAATCTCCTAAAAATTCAGTTTCAGTGAACCATTGGGATTTTTTTGGTGACCGTGCTCCTTCACGTGTGGCAAAAAAAACAGAGTAAAATATCTCTCAGCAGTTTAGGTCTTTCTTTACAAAAGTCCTAACACAAGACTTTGATGAAGACACAACTTCTACTGGTAAAATATGTATTTTACCAAAGTAGCTTATGTAAACAAAATAATGTATTTAGGCAAAAAGACATCTAATGAAATAGAACACTGAGGAGATTGCAAGCATAAATCCACTTATTGCTGTCTTATTTCCCCTAACCCTTATAACTTGTACTGACAAAAGTTCCTAATTGCAAACCAGGCATAGCTAGCAGGGGCAGACTAACAGCTCATGTTGGGCTTCTCTGCGTCCTTCCACCAGACAAAGCAGCTTGTTCATATGGTTCCCAGTGTCATAGGAACATAGTAGAAAAACACATGAATGTCTGTGCTGAGTCTGATCAAAGACCCATCTAGCCCAGTGTTCTCTCTGTGGTGGTGGCCTTGAGGAGGTATGTAGAGATGAATATAGCAGCATGACAGTACTGTAGTTATTCTTCCCACAATATGTTTTTGGCCTCCGGTGTTTTAAGGCTGAAGGACTTGCTGAGTCAAAGATGCCAGCTTCGTCTTTTGCAGCCTTTCATGGATTCTTTTTTTCCTGTGAACTTGCACCTATGGAAGCTTTTGGCATCTGTGACATCTGCAGCAAAGTTTCATGACTTAACTAGACATCTCACACTATACTCCTCAGTGTGTTTTGAGACAGCCTCACAGTAGTTTTTGTTTGACAACCTGTTGGTAGTGTTTTGGAAGAGACAGGGAAGAGTTTCTCACATATTTCTTCTCCATAGCACCCTTGATTTATAGATCTCTAATGGCCTCAATGAATTGGGTTTTTTTTCCTGGTCTGTTTTGTTACACTTTTTATGAAAGTTGCTTCAGTGTTTTGGTCATCCTTGTCCTTTTCTGAATGGTCTCCAGTTTTAATGCAGTCTTTTTGAGGTGTGGAAACCAGAACAGCACAGAACATAACACGTGTTTAACTGTGATGGTTTCATACAATGCCTTAATGATGTCTGCTTTTTTTTGTTATAATCATAGAACTGATATTTCCATAAATCTGTCTACCATAGCTCCAAGATCTCACCCTAAAATGATGAAAGTTGGCTCAGAGCCCATCTCTGGATGTGTAAAGCTAGGGTTGTTTCATGAGGACTTTGAAAAGTAGGATCTTGCCCATATATATCACTTCATGTCTATGTCTCTGAATGCTATCTGCCCTTGTCTCCTAGTCACAGAGTGACAAGTGCTAATAACAAAATTTATGCAAATGAGCAACTGCCACTTGTTTCTCAAACGTCAGTACTTGAATTTTCAGATCTTATGTTAAATAATAGAGAACTCATTACTACCTGCACTTTGCCAGCATTTGCAGTTGCCTTACCACCTGTTCCCCTCCAATATGCTCCTATGCCTGTGATACCACACACCACCATCTTCTTTATCTCCCTCCTTACAGCTTCAGGTTTTGTACCAATGTCTGCCTTCTCTCCATATCACCTTTGACTTTAATGCAAAACTTGCCTATTACATTTGCCACCTTGTTCTGCTCTTCTCTCCTGTACCCTTTGCCTGTTTATCCACCTTTTTTTGTACCTAGTTAAAACCAGACAGTAAGAGGAAACTGAAGCTAATATCTGTCCATAACTGTACAACCTCTGATGCCAATTATTCTACCAGTGCAAGGGACACAATAGAATATGATAGAAATGAGCTTGCGAGAGATATCATACTGTCATAGTATCATAGAATGCTAAGGGATTGGAATGAACCTCAGAGATCATCTAGTCCCAACACCCCCTGCCATGGGCAGGGACACCTCCCATTAGACCAGGCTGCTCAAGGCTCCATCCAGCCTGACTTTGAACACTGCCAGGGTTGAAGCAGCCACAACCTTCCTGGGCAACCTGTTCCAGTGTCTCACCACCCTCAAATCAAAAAACTTCTTCCTAATATCTGTTCTAAATTCCCCTCTTTCGATGTATACCTGTTACTTCTTATCCTACCACTGCAGTTCCTAACAGAGTCCCTCTCCAGCTTCCCTGTAGGCCATTCAGATACTGGAATGTTGCTGTGAGGTCTGCATGCAACCTTTCCTTCTTCAGGCTGAACAGCCCCAAAGCTCTCAGCCTGTCCTCATAGGGAAGGTGCTCCAGTCCTCTTACCAGCTTTGTGGCCTCCTCTGGACTTGCTCTAGCTTGTTCCATGTTCTTCTTATGTTGGGGACAGCAGAACTGCACACAGTACTCCAGGTGGAGTCTCCCAAGAGCAGAGTAGAGGGGCAGAATCACCTCCTTCGACTTGCTGACAACACTGCTTTTGATGCAGTCCAGGATTTGGTTGGCTTTCTGGACTGCGAGTGCACACTGCCGGCTCATATTGAGTTTTCCGTCAACCATCACCCCCAGGTCCTTCTCTGAAGTGCTGCTCTCTCAATGACTTCTCCACCCAGCCTATAGATGTGTCTGGGATTGCTGTGACCCAGGTGTAGGTCCCTGCACTTTGCTTTGTTGAGCTTCATGAAATAGGCATCAGCCCACCCCTCCAGCCTGTCAGGGTCCCTCTGGATGGCATCCCTTCCCTCCAGTGAGTTGAGTGCCCCACACAGCTTGGTGTTGTCAGTGAACTTGCTGAGGGTGCACTGGATCCCATTGTCCATGTCACCAACAAAGATGTTGAATCGTATCTCAAGAAGTCAAAGTTTATATCCTTGTCTTGGAACAGGATGAATTGTATATAAATCATTCCTATCAGTTGCTTAGCATTTTCTTGCTAAATAATAACAGAATGCAGCAAATTTAACTCTTGTTTTGTCCCATAACCAAAAATAATAGGGATACAGCACGTAGAAAATGATTTGATGTATTGTAATCAGGACAGAATTTTTGTTTGCCTGCCTATGTTTGCTGTATTCTCTTTAGGTACCAAAATTAGTCTCAAGCACAGCAACTATGTGTGTGTCACAGACTGATCTGAGATGCATAGTTCTCTCTTTCTGGGGAATCATAAATAAATCAACCAGGAATAATTGACGGTGGCTGTCCATTCAAAACCCAATCAATGCAAGCCTGAAAGTCTTTGTGACACTTTCTAAAAATGTCAGTTCCATTGCAGCCAGAGAATCAATATGTTTATTTAAAGAGACTTTAAGAATAAAAAAAGGGACTTTGGTTTAAAGAAAAACTGTATGGAATGGCAGGGCAAATCAGCACATTTAGTCTCAATATAAAGGTAATTAATTTATCCTCATAGAAGGAAAATAAAATTGGTATGGTTTTGCTTATGATGATAATTGTTTTTCCAGTCTGTTTTCATTGCTATGGCCTGAGTATAGAGAAAGAGCCTTTAAAAGGGTTAAGAGCAATTATTGTTTTTTGCTGGGGGACAGAATGAACAGTAAATTCCCTTCTACATGGCTTTTAAAATGTAGTCTAAAATAGTGTTCTGATAACAGCACATGTCCTTATTACATTACAAATACAAAATCATTAATTGTACCATGTTTGACAGCCATTAGCGGTCGATTTGTGTAATCATCTGTTCCTGTATCAAAAATACAGTTTTAATCTGAAATTGTTCTTCTATAAAAGTGATCTGCTGCTGTATATGAATTACAGAATTGCTCTTATGTCTGAAAATTACTTGTTAAAACTCAGAGCTCCCTGACCTTTCTCTTTTTTAAAATATTAATGAAAACCACCAGAGAAAATTGTTCTTGAGTCAGGTAGGAGTTTAAAAAAAACTAAAATTGTTTTTCTCTCTCTTACAAAATAAGATAAATATTTAATTCCATGACAAATAAGAATGTTGAATGGTTTTGAATAATTGGTGCTCTCCCAAAAACGCTCGCATTCATTTTCATGTGGTGCAGCACGTACAAAGTGACAGCTACCAAGGTACTGGCTTCTGTGCATCCTAATTACATTATGTTCTATTCTGCTGGTTCAGACATAGCTGGGAAATTGTCTCAGGTGTTGAGAGAAGCGTATTAACTATGCATTTCCTTCACATCCTGGCTGGTGGGAAGATAATTCTGATTACTGGGGAGCAACAGTCTTACAATAGCAGTGAATTTTGGCCTGTAATTTCAAGAAGAGAACATAAGTACTTAAAGCCTTGTTCCAGGACAAAGGCTATCATATTTTCTTTTGTCCCAGGAGCAGTTTCTGAAGGTCACAAGTCAGGGTGTAAAATCACAGATTCTCTGGTCCTGGGAACTGCTCTTATCCCAGCTCAGGTGAATCAGAGGTTTCACATGCTGGCCTTTACTTTAATAGGCCCTGGATGCAATCCAATTTCAGAGAGATCTCCAACGTGTGGGAAGATTGAAGATTTATGTGTTACAGTTCGCTTCATACAATAAACATGTGTCACAGTAAAAGTGAAACTGCAAACAGTCTTTTCAGGAAAAGCAGAGGCACTCCACCACAAGCAAGAGTCATCTTTGATTTTCCTACCTATTTAATTATGCTCTATAAATACTGATCTTTACATGCTAAACATGCAGAAGACAACTTTCAAGACATGAGAACAGACTCCCAGATAGTATATATCAGCATAGGGTCGAGAGCAGTTTTAGCCCTCCAAGTGCCATTAGCCCTAGCTAAGATTAACATGCATAAAACCTTGTGTTGCAAGTTTGCTTGCTGTATCAGCTGAAAGGCTGCTACATTTTTCCAAGCCCCACTGATGGTTGTTAAAAACGGAGTATGTGCTGTCCTTTGACTTAAGGTACCATGTTTTTAGTCAGCTTGTACTTTTCAACAGTTGCAATATTTTCCACTTTCCATCTCCTCTTTCGAGCTTCTGTGATGGGAAGTAAAGCTCTTGCTCTCCTTCCTCCAGAACTCCAGACTGTTCAAAAGGGGGATTGAGTTTAATCCTTCATCTGAAACTAATTCAGGTGGCAGTCATGACTGCAGACTCATTTCAACTGATGTTTTCTTCCCCCAATATATGTAATAGATTCATTGGCCACTTGTCACTGGAAAGGCCACTCTAATAAACATGAGAACTAGTTGGTAATTTTGTTTGAAGGTTTAGCAAGAGGCAAAGAAGTAAGCAAGGGCTCCTGCTTCCCTGCCCCAAAAGGAAAATCATGGTCAAAATACAAGCATGTTTTCAGGGTGTTTTGGGGTAGCTGACAGTACTAAGGGTCGTCCTGTGACTTGTCAAGCTTGTTTCTCCTTGCAGTATGACTTTGTGGAGCTCCTGGATGGCAGCCGGCTGATCGCAAGGGAGCAACGCAACCTGCTGGAGTCGGAGCGAGCAGGGCGGCAGGCGAGGTCTGTCAGTCTCCACGAGGCAGGTTTTATCCAATATTTGGATTCTGGAATCTGGCACCTGGCCTTTTATAATGATGGGAAAAATCCAGAGCAGGTGTCTTTTAACACCATAATTATAGGTAAGCATAATCTTAAAGCTCTTACCAAACGCTAGCTTCAGGTCAGTTTTTTTAGGAATACATATATAGGTTTTCATAGTTAAATGATCTGACCTTTTTTTCATAGGTTTTCCATTCATGGTGTTTCTGCTGCTGCTTGGAATACAACAGAATATGTATTTTAATTTCTTGGTATAAGGCAAAAGGGGTGTGCTTTCTTGTAAAATGGTGCTTGAAATGAGAACACTGTTTTGAAGTGTTTGTTAAATGGCTGGACTTGTTAAAGGGCTGGATTTTCAGTATGAAGCTCATATAGTTTTACCATTGTAATTTTAGCCTTTTTGTTGGAATATAAAGTCCTAAGATACTGGAGCATACATCAGCAATAGAAAATCACAACAATTCATGCTCTTCAAACAAACCACATGTAAACACTTGGAGTGAGGGCATGCTGTCAGTTAGTAGTGGTTCAAATGATAGGTACTTCATGAACTGGGCATCTGTGAATTATCCTCCTCGTTTTTCCTTTAGAGTCTGTGGTGGAATGCCCCCGAAATTGCCATGGTAACGGTGAATGTGTTTCTGGATCCTGCCATTGTTTCCCTGGGTTTCTGGGCCCCGATTGTTCAAGAGGTAAATCAACCCAATACTTTTCTCAAGTCAGTTTAAATGAGCATGAAGACAAATACATAAGAAAAGCAGCTTCTTAGATGTTCTTTATAAAGCTTTGGTGAAAATCCTGGTTTTAATTTTTCTACCTTGTTTTGTTTTACAGCAGCCTGCCCAGTGCTGTGCAGTGGCAATGGACAGTACTCCAAAGGACGCTGCCTGTGTTACAGCGGCTGGAAGGGCACTGAGTGTGATGTGCCTACAAGTCAGTGCATTGATCCCCAGTGTGGGGGCCGCGGCATTTGCATCATGGGCTCTTGTGCCTGCAACTCTGGGTACAAAGGAGAAAACTGTGAAGAAGGTAATGAGTAAATATTTACACCAGCACCTGCTGTTGTTGGTTAGATTTACAGCTGCCAAATCCAGCTCTATCAATTTTTCTAGGTGTAGATCTTATGCACTAATGGTATTTCTTCAAAATCAAGTACTAATCAAGTTTGGGAATCACTAGTATCAGTGCATTCTACAGAATTATACTCTGAAGTAATCAGTGGAAAAATTCTTGATAACGTGTGTTATCTTTTTGCTTGCCAGGGTATGTAATTTTTTTTTCTGCCTGCATTCAGCTGAGAAGAATGCACACAAAAAATAGATGTAGGAATACTTACGGAATTTTTGTAGTACAGAATAAATCATGAATGTATTGCATTTGTTAGTCATCTTTTCCACTGACCACATTGTGGTAAGTGCTGATTCAAATGCATCAGAGTGAAAAACAATGCATCGTTTTTGTATTCCAGAGATGTGCATAATAATATTCGTTCTAGTGTGCTGCAAAATGGGGTTCATTTTCCATTCTATTTTTTTAGGGAGTAAAAAGGTGCCATTTCCTTCCTCAATCAAATTGATTTTATTGATCTCCATGTACAAAGTAATGCAATTAAGTCTCTGGAATTAAATTTTCAGACCATTGACCCTACAAGTGTAACATTTTATTGAGTCAAATTGCTAAATTAAATCTCGTCATCTAAAGCACATTAAAGTGAATTAAGACAGATAGACAGTATGCAACTCATTCATTTCTGAAACAAGTCGAGAGTCCTGTATAGCTGTCAGGATGGTATAGTGGTGGGTTGGGTCAGTTGATACTGAGGGCTGCAAGGAATCCAACACTTGTTACACTATGATTAGGCAGAAACAAGATCAGTTGCCCAAGACACAAAGCCAATCTTCTTGTAATTCAGAAAAATCAGCAAACCTTTAAAGAGTCTCCATTAACTCAGTGGTAGCCTGTAATTGTCTTGATATCAGTTATGTGCACACACGAATTTCACAATATCAGAAAGTGATGTGGAAGCGAAGTGTTTGTGCAAGAAAATTTGCTGCTATGCAAGTAGCGATGATGAAGAGTGATTTCACTTGTAGCCAGAGGAGGTAGACTGGCACCAAGATACCTTGCTCCACTCTTGTCTTTTCCTCACTCATTGCAATGAAAAAGGTAAACTTCTCAGCTTCAACCTACTAATGTTTACTTTTAAGACAAATCCCATGCTGTCTATTTCATATGGTCTTAAACTGTGAATTAAGCCCAGAAGTGCCATGGGCATCTAGAGGTTGATTACTGTTGGGAATGGCAGGTTTAAGCTGACCTTCCTCATCTCCCTGCAGCGGATTGCTTGGACCCAGCCTGCTCCAGCCACGGCGTATGCATCCACGGCGAGTGCCACTGCAACCCAGGCTGGGGTGGCAACAACTGTGAAATCCTGAAGACAATGTGCTCTGACCAGTGCTCTGGTCATGGCACCTACCTTCAAGAGAGTGGTTCCTGCACCTGTGACCCCAACTGGACAGGTCCAGATTGCTCCAATGGTAATGCACTGGCGTTTGGTAAAATGTTGATGTCTTGAATAGCAACATTTTAATGACGTTACTGTCTTGGGACCTGACCTGCTGAGCTGATGGATGTCTTTTAGTTGACTTCAGCATGAACTGTGAATTGATTCAATGGTTCAAAATAATTGATGAGTTTGAAGGATTTGAAAATCAATGTATTTGTTTGTATCTTTTAGCTGCCTTCATCTGCTAACTTTAGGTACTTCACATGCAAGTTCAGAATGTTCTGTGCATGCTATATGGATACATCTATGTAGAAACTTAAAACTACACTAGTGAAAGCAGAGACAGTCACATTTTAAAAATCTCTCCAGCTAATTGGAGGTATTTTTCTTGAAAAACAGACAGTGTTCGAGTTTGAAGGGAAAGGGAATGCAAGGATGAATCTTAAACAGCTTTCAAGGCAGGGTGCAGGCTGCCAGGGTGGAAGGAGTTGGTAGAAGTGAAGAAGCAGAGGGTTTTCTTGAAATCTGAAACTGAGCTTATTAAAACCATAGTCTGAGCTTAGAAACAAGGAGAAAACTAGAGGCACCATCACAGAGAGCATGATCTAAATATTTATAAGTATGGCAGCAGCCTTTTGACAAATATGAGTTTTTAGAATATTGTTTGGTAGCCACATATCAAAAAAAAAATCACGTCTAACTGTGAGACATATATTTGTCTAAGCCAGTTCAGCTAAGAACTCAGACATTTTGTTAATGAAAACTGAACACATGGGCTAGCTGGGTTTATGCCAGCTTATGAATAAATATAACTTTTTCATGAGAAACCATCTTTTTAAAACAAATGTACTTCCTGACCAGGATCTGTGATACTCCATAATGGTTTATGCATACAAGAGTGATAGGACAGAGTTCCAAACATTCAAGAAAAAGCGACAGAGAGAAGAAAATGTTGCCTTCTATGAAATTTGTTAGGAAGAAAAAAATTTTCTTTTAGCATTTCCAGCACTCAAAATGGCTATTTGTGAGAGACCCTTTCTGGTTCTCAGGAAAACACAGTCCCCTGTTTATTGACACAGTGTCCTCTATGCTTTTTTTTTTTATTACATGCTATGCTCCATCTTTTACTTATATTTCAAGGAATGATTTGTCATTAAAATAACATAAAATGTTTCTGATCTCAAATATTTCAAGAGTGTCAGACACACAAAAGAGCTTTGTAAAAACATGTACAGATTATTCTCTGAATCTGTGCAAAATGACCTTCAGAGTAGTATACTAAAAAAGTAAATCTTACCCATAAACATGTTAAGCTCCTAGATGAAGAACAGAATGAGTTCTTTCCATCAGACGGTTTTATAGGTTTGAAATCAGCAGAGCTTTCCTCTATCTTCATCAGCAGTTTGTCCATTAATTAGCCCTTCAATTCCACTTCAATTAAATTAACTCTAATTAATAAATTCATTACAAAGATTGACGCACCTTGCTCAAAGCTAGTGTGCTAAAAGCTGATAAACACCTTCACCCTAATGAAAAATTGATTAGATTGAAGAGAAATAAACCTTTCTTTCTAGGCTCTGCATTGACGTTCTGTGACTCTAAAGTTAATCAAACCATCTTGCATATCTTAATCAAAAACTTACTTCCAAAAACCTCCATAAATGTTTTGGGCTGTTTCTTACAGGAAATGTCACAGCCCCTTGATACTGTGTTTAATGTTCCACAGCACTTTGAGACAGTGGGGAAGAAAAACACTGATGAGCAGGAAACTGGAAACCTTTCTTGCACTGAATGCAAGTTTCTTTTTCTGTTAAAAATAATTTTGATCTTTTATTGATAAACAACTTGTTGTCTTTTACAAGAAAACAATAACTAAGTACAGCACTTCTGTGAACCAGTACGTGGCCACAGCCAGCTGCATGCCAAGGAACTACAGAAGTCCCTCAGGCTGTATTGTATCTCCTCTTGTTTTTCTGTGTTCTGCTTAGCAGAAGTCAAGGTTGCTAGAGTCTAACTAAATAAACCAAAACTGTAAATGCAAAATCTGGAAGTCTAAATTATCTTCTTCTATTAGCTGAGACTTAATATGCATTGTTTGGCCTCTGACTACCTTTGGTTGTTAACACATTTTTCAATTATTCTATCAGATACGATATCCTGTTACTGTATGTAAATGACAAGTTAAATTGCTGTATGTTGATTTATTTTTTAACAAACTGTTATTTAAACCAGACTGTTCATAGCTGTCACTAATACAAATTTACTGCAAGTAAAAGAGAATCATCTTTTATATTTAACAGATGTGTCAGTGTGTCAGCATAGTACTAATTTGTCTCACTAAGGCTGATTCTTTATAATGAAAAAATGTGTCAGAAATGGCACATTTTTACTTTGAAAGAAAACGGGGAGAAGGGTATAGAGGGGAAACCTTGTTAAAATGAATTTCATCATATTAGATTTTCACTCACAACACAATGTTCTAGGTATATGTTACACTTAGTGACTAGGAGTACAGTGTAAGTTCTGGTAGGTCTAAGTGCCATAGAATCTAAACTAGAAAAGGTTATTCTTAAGACATATGTGATCTGAAAGGTACCCTGAGCTAACAAAAGTTTTGGATGCTTAGCACTACTAAATCCTGCTGGATAACCAAGTGAGCAAAGAGATAGGAAAGAGATAAAACTCTGTACTCTATTCTGTTGGGTCCTCTCTGAAAATGTCTTTCACAGTAAATTCCTTTGATTTAATTTTCAAACATTTTGCCTTTCTTATTCTTCACAAGTTGAATTAAAATGTAGCACTGCTAATTAATGTATACCCTCTGTCTCCCCTCTGCCTCTTTTTCTCCTGCTCCCTTCTCTGAAATGCAGAAATCTGTTCGGTGGACTGTGGCACACACGGTGTGTGCATGGGGGGCACGTGTCGGTGCGAGGAAGGCTGGACAGGCCCAGCCTGCAGCCAGAGAGCCTGTCACCCGCGCTGCGCAGAGCACGGCACCTGCAAAGACGGGAAGTGTGAATGTAGCCAGGGATGGAATGGAGAGCACTGTACCATTGGTAGGCTGGCTATTTACCCTGTCTTCACTGCAAAATTCAAGCAGCCAGTGCTGCTGGCCACATCTGAATAAGAAGTGTATTACTTTGAAGAATGTTTCTTCAAACAGAATATTTGCACATGTCAGTCTGTGTAAAGAAGTTGATATTTTAAGAAAGGAAATGGTTATATAATGGCTCATCAGTTCTTCATACCTAGTTTGCCATGAGAAGATGGTGGAAGAATTTCCTTTTCAATCTCTTCTCTTTAACTGCCTTTTGCTGAGTTGGAGGTTACTTTTATTTTGAACTGTAAATATATTATTTGATTGTACATTTCTATTTTTATGTGATAGCTTTATGTCTTGTGGAAATGAAGCTTCCTATTGTTTTTCTTTCTTTTTTTTTTTCTTAAGGAGATGAAGCTCTAAAACAGCGACTTGCCTACACAAAAATGTTGCTTCCACTGTGGAATAAATGTGATCTAGCTGCCCAAAATTATCTTCTTGTCAACATAATGTTCTATTTTAGAATTATATCGAATTTCTCACATGTTAATAATGTAACAGCAGTTTAATACAGCTGATTGAGAAGAAACCATCCTTGTTACAGCTCCTGTGTTCCTGTAACCACATTAGTTCTAGTGCCTGGAAACCTTTGGAAATTACTGTGCCTTTATCAATGGAGCTTTTCCTACTCAGTAATTTACAGTCTGTATATCCTGTATACAGCAGGATACCCCTCTCCAGTACACAGGCTTTGACAGTGAGCTAGCATGAGAAGTTATGCATGCAAATAAGAGGTCTACGAAAAAACGGAGCTTTTGTGCTAAGAAATTCCCTTCCACACTAATTGCCCTTTGTGCAAGACACTGCAGGTCTGTAACAGGAGGAGGGTCCTATCCAAACAGTTTTTATCTCGCCATAACCACACAGAGAAACTATTGAGTGACAACAGGTAGAAAACACAGGCAAAGGAACTGGAAATGGTCTACATGTAAGAGATGATTAGTTTGTACTCAGGTAAGTGAGGAGCATTGCACAGGGCTTATCAAAGTCTGTGACAGGAGTAACAACATGACTCTGAAGTATTTATGGGACATATTTCCTAAGTATGAGAATCATCATGGCTTAGCACTTAAAGCTCCATTGAATAGGCAACAAAAGAGCTAGCTACAGGTCAGACAAAGGCAAGTGTTACATTGAGTGATGAGGAAATCACAGATTATTTGAGTAGTCACAAAAATTCCAATAATTAAAAAAAAATCCCATGATTTTAGGTTTGGAGAGATGGAGGAGGGATGGTTAAAAGAGGTGATGTAGCTGAAGCAGCAGGATTGGACAGTAAGTCTAACAGCAGTGGAGCTGATAGATGTGAATGTAGCATGATTTGCTTTTACTACAAGCTAAAAAGAGGCTGGAGAATTTTAACTTTTCTGGAAGTTCTGGAAGGGATCTAAATTTGAACATGTTAGCACAGCTAAGCCATCCCAGGGGCGTGAGTATCTAGAAAATAGTAAAGCCCAGGCTGTGTTCCCGGGTAGTTTACAGCCCTGACTGAGAGGCAGGTGGTGGTGCTCTGCTTGGTGGCCACAAGAAGCAGTGGTGGGAGCCTTGAGGACAGTGAAAATGAGGGCCTGTTACAGCTGTATTAACTGATACGCACATCATTGCACCAGGAAAATGAGACAATGTTTTATTTTGTAGAAGGGAGTCATGTGTGAAAGTAGTAAGATTGATTCATGAACTAGTTTTTAAGCAATAGTGATTGATTTCTTTATTGTTATTTACTAATGAGATTGCTCAGACATGAGGGAGAAGGAATCAAGGTGTCTCTGCAGAATGCCATGGAGAATTGATAGGGTTAACGTTTTTGAGCAGCTTCCAGAAAACGTGCTGACAAAGGGAGTAGAGAGGTGGGAAGAGAACTACTTTATGAACAGTAAAAGAAAGTAAATATTTAGAAGTAGGATAAAGCCTTTCCCTTGACTGCTTTAACTTGCCAAGGAGCAATTACTCAGCAGATCACTCTGCTGTTGGTCTCACTGACCTTGGCAGCGTTTCAAGGGTTGTAGTTATACGCGGATGAACTGCTCTTGAACAAGTTTTCCAACATATTAAGCACAAACAAGTTTTTCCTCAGCACTGGGCAAGCAGGTCTGTCTTCCCACCTGTTTATTCTTTAAATGGGTGTTTACTTTGTGGCTGCTGCTGTAAAGATAGTTTGATTTGTTTATATTGCCCTTTCAGCCTCCAAGACAAGTAACAAAGACAGCAATACGCGGATGAACTGCTCTTGAACAAGTTTTCCAACATATTAAGCACAAACAAGTTTTTCCTCAGCACTGGGCAAGCAGGTCTGTCTTCCCACCTGTTTATTCTTTAAATGGGTGTTTACTTTGTGGCTGCTGCTGTAAAGATAGTTTGATTTGTTTATATTGCCCTTTCAGCCTCCAAGACAAGTAACAAAGACAGCAGCTCTAGCCTGCCCTTTCAGCCTCCAAGACAAGTAACGAGGTACAGGCTCTAGCCTGCTGTTATATTTATTTTTCTTAGAGCTGTTTTCTTCAGGAGCCCAGTGTTACAGAGAAGCCAGGTCATTTTATTGCTCATTTTCAAGAGTATTTGCACTTGGTGGGGTAAAAATTGCTACCTCCTCAACTTGGCAGTTGAAGAGTCAAATTACTTTTCTCTCACCTGCCTTAGAGTGGGTAGTAGCTCTTTCTAAGTAGTAGATTTCAAACATAAGGAACTTCAGAATGTTTCTCTGTGTGAACCAGTTTTTTTATTGTCACCCTCCATTTGTAGCCCAGCCATTTTATGCTACTTACAACTCTCAACTTGGTAGCAGAATATTTACATAATTTGTGTTATGTGTATGAAAGACTCCCACTTACTTTCCCTTTATATGTCTAAAAATAAATATTTGCACCCTTCTTATTTGTATAAGTCATTAACTATTTAGCTGCAGTACTGTGAAGTATTTTGGGAATGCACATGTATTTCTTTGTGGCAGCTATTAACTGGAAGTCACATGAAGTGCAAGAGCCTAAATTTACAGCTTCTTTGGGAAAGGAATAGCCCACCAGATCTCTAGCTGGATGTACAAAACAGGGTAGATATCTATGCATTACTCCCAGAGGTGCCAACTGGAATGTGTACTGGATCATCTAAATCCGTAACTCATTTGAGTTTATGGTATTTTTGTGAAGCATGAAAGCCTTTTAAAATGCTAAAAAATGTTTCACACCTCAGCTAATGATTTTTATGTATTTCTGAATGCTGGCTATCTGTCCAGTCTCACTTCCCAGTAGCCCACCCTGTGCTGTAAGTTGACATGTTAAAATGTAGAATGAAGGAAAAAACAAATCTATCTCCTTTATTAAAACAAGGAACTTCTTTGTTTTATTCCTCTCTAATATCCTTTAAACCCTAGATTGCTTCTTGAGTTATGCTGATATTTACACATACTTCAAAATATTCAAGTGAAATTTAGCCAAAGGAAATTCAAATTGCTCTAAACTCCCAGATACCTTTTTTTGATGTTAGTTTTCTATTTCCATACTTCAGGACATTGAGAAACAAAAGCATTTGCAAAGATTTGCTTTCTTTCGTTCAGAAAAAAAATTTAGACATCTGCTTACCTGGGTTAAACATCAGCATTTCCCTAAGGCTGAGTCTGACAAGACTGGAACGGAGAAATAATATACATATATATTTTATATACTTTGATTTGTGAGAGAGAACAGAATAGACTAAACAAAGGGTTTTTTTATTTGCTTGAAGCAATGTGTATAGTAAGGTGGGTAAGATTGTTCTGACTAATGCAGTAAATCTGATGTGTGTTGCTGATATCCACTGTTCCATTGTGTGTCTTTGGCACAGGGTAGCTCCACCTTCAGTAGCACACCTGATGTCAGCCACACTTGTGAGCTGTTGCCTTTGCTCTGAATGCATGCTTACACATAAATATATCAAACACGATCAGCAGATAAGTGCATGCACAGTATTTTGATTAAATGAATCTAATAATAATTAACAAAACTCAAGATATGGTGCTATTGTTTAGCATCTTAAACTTAGCACTGGTGCTGTATGTTTCAAATGCGAAACAATTTAAAGCACCTAAATTGCTTACTATCTTTTCCTCCTCAGAACTGTAATAGTAAAATCATAGGATCATAGAACAGTTTGAACTGAAAAGAATCTTCAGAACCATCCCCACCCTGCTGACCGCACAGTAAGAAGGGACATCTTCAGCTAGATTTGGTTGCTCAGAGCCTCATCCAGCTTGGTCTTGAATGTTTTCAGGCACAGGGCTTTCACTGCCTCTCTGGGCAACTTGTTCTAGTGTTTCACCACCCTCATTAAACAAAACTTCTTCCTTACATCTAGTTTGAATCTACTCTCTTTTAGTTTAAAACCATTACTCCTTGTCCTATCACAACAGGCCCTGATAAAATGTTTTAATGTAAAGTTTTAACATTTCCAGTATCTCTATGAGAACATAAATCAGCAGTTTACTGCAAAGCTATGGAAAACTACTGTCAATTGTTTATTTGGTCTGGAAGTGGCATTCGTGGGTCTAAGGTGAACGTCCATATATTATTTTGTGTAGCTCAGCCTGCATCTCAATGTGATTCAAGACCATACATGCACAGCTGGTGCCCAGGTGATAGCCTGGATGAAAATTTGCTCTGTAATTAAGTTTTCATAACACGATTGTGCTAAAGTATGTTTTTGTTTCCTTTCTGTCCTGGCTTGCAGTGGGTTCAGTGACCCTCTCGTGTCTGAGTAGTTGTTTTGTGAGATTGGAACAGATATTATTTCAGAAAGTCTATTATTTTTTTTATATAACTGGCATGTACCATGAGTATGTTAAGTAACTGTCATAGGAAGCCCATAAATATGAATACTTTTCCAGCTGCTTTTCCATTAAACTCTGTTAGCTGAATGAAATTAGTAAATAATTATGTTGGTGGGGAACCTGCTATATCCATGTGCTGTGTAACATCTCAGTTTTAC